CGGCCAAACCCGCCCTCTCACACTCTCACCCACTCTTCGTAATGGGTGTCACTTTACACACAAGTGTCCCAGAAAGACACGTACACTCCAACACACTCTCTCCACATCCGTCCATGTTCGTGCCTTACCTGAAAAACACTACCGTCTCCCACAAATAGATCCCCAGCGCGTTTAGTCGGCACATTTTTGCCAGTCTCATTTTTTTCACTTGGAGGTGGGAGGGAGGAGGACGAAGGTCTCTATGAAAAATATCCAGTTAGTTTTGGAAAAGAGGCAGGAGGAGGAGGAGTAAGGAGGGAGGAGGAAGACTGGGGAGGTTTGGGACTTCTCGTTTAGGAGCTCCAAGGTGATGTTCCGCAAATGTGCGTAAAGGTGCGTAATTGTGCGTGTTTTACATCCAAAAGTGTCCGTTCCTCCGGGACCTCACCGGCCATGAAATCATGCTTGTGTCACCTCCAGTGGTGGGGCAGAGAAATCCACAAAAATTCAAACCCGAAACTGCGCTCTGGATCCACGGTCGGAGGCAAGAGGAGGCACCGGTGATGGCGCACGTCCAGGAGGTGATAAGGAGAGGAGAAAAGGGAGGAGGACGGATAAGGTGTGAAGAAGAGGGGGAGAAAAGGATGACGAGGTTAAAGCCGCTCACAAATACACCTGAGGTCCAGACTGCGTGATCCACAGCGGCCAGGGAAGAAATTCTCACATATTCCTGGGCAGTTTTTTGGCTCAGTGCCTCCAAAGACAAAACACTAGAACGGTGTGTCTGTGTCTGTGATGTGTGTATGTGTTTGTGTGTGTGTAATAATCCACTCCACAGAGGGAGTAACAGACAGAGGAGGAGAAAGGCTGTCCTCTCTGATTCACTGATTTGCTCTTACATGCATCCCAGACGCAGCCGGCGCGTCGCTGTGGATCTGGATCCGTGCGTAAAACGGCTGTTGCGGTACTCCTGCTGCTGCTGCTGCTGATGTTGATGTTGATGTCCAGATGAGGGAGGTGCGCAGGTCCTATTCTCCCTCTCCTTGTCTGTCCGCTGCTGCTCCTTCTTTTCCTTCTCGCACTTGTCTCCCAGGGGTGAGGACGTGTAGCAGTAGTAGTTGCACTTGGGGCTGCAGCAGCACGGCTCAGCTACTCCCATTGTCTGGTGACGGTCAAGTTGGAGACTCACCGGCGGCCGCAGCTGCTGCTGCTGCTGCTGCTGTTGATGATGATGATGATGCTGTTGCTGCTGATGCTGAGCTCTGCATCCACGGGAACAGTGTCCGGTACAAAGACAAGGAGAAAAGAAAATCAGCAGGAGGATAGTGGGGTGAGTGTTAGGACGCCGTGAAGGAGCTACGGCCGTGTTTCATGACAGCGACTGTGTCCCCCCCGTCCACTGTGTACACGCGCACACACACACACACACGAACACACACAGTGAGCTGTAAAGCAGCCGCTCAGTTCGTTCCTCCACACTCTGGGTTTCTTGCTGCAGTCATTTAACAAACTCCACAAAAAAACCTACCTCATGCAGCAGACGGACACGCCTACAGGAGCCTGCCATTGGTGGACGCTGTCGGGAAGGTTGTTTCGGATTGGTCAGCACGGGTGTCACTATGAAGTCTGCCCCTTATCAGGAATGTGTATAATAATAATAATAATAATAATAATAATAATAGTCATAATAATAATAATAATAATAAAGTGTTTCGTTATGAAAAGGACATTTGAATACAAGTGACAAGTGAAATTACTGAAATTACTATATTTCACTTATATTAATGAAGAAATATTTTATTTTATAAAGCACATTTAAAAATATAATATACAATATATTTCCCTGTTGTTATTCTGATTATATTTTAATCTGTCTTATTTTTGTTTTGCTAAAAAAAGAAAACGTGGTGGTCCTAAAACTGTACAAACAATGTGACACAAACATTTATCCATCCATCCATATTCCCAATATAATCCTGTCAAGAGTTGTGCAGTACTTTGTTAACAGGAATTCTAAGGGTAGGGACTGGAGTACATGCAGGAGACAAAAGACCACATGGAATAAAAAAAAATACAAACAAAACTGTTTCCTTTCTTGACATGAGACTTTAGCCAAGTTGGACTCTGGAAAAGATAACTTCAACAATGCTGCCATAGAGAATGAAGAGTTGGCATCATAAGAGAGAGGGCTGCATATTCACGTAGCCAACAACATCTTTGTGGGAAGATTCTGTTGTTGGTTGTTGTTATAAAGTTGCCATTGATTGCTACAAAACATTGTAATTTGTGACTGCCAACAAAAGATGACCTAAGAATCACAGGATTGTCTCTGAAACGAAAGAAGCCAAAAACATACCATTTCTACTTCTCTATTGTGAAAAGAATGTTTTTGATTAAAGAGTAAATCTGGTATTTTTCAGACTTTCCTGATGACTTTCTTATCTTTGATTGTGTTTTTGTTCTATTTATGATTTGCATCTAAAATAATTAGCTTCAGAGGTAGCTACTCTGTACCTAACCAATCCTTAACACTCCTGGACCTGTATGGTTCCATTTTTGATTGGTTTAACTTTGACAGTGAACTCAAACTGTGACGTCCAACCCCACTTTAGTAGTTAAGTACTGCCTTGGCTCCTGTAGCTTATTGGTCTGTGCCTGTAAACATCTTCCAAACACCTACTTTAAAGTGATTCTGTGTTTGGGGTCAGAGTTGTTTTTTTTTTGTGTGTGTGTGTGTTTCTGATATTTCATCTTCTCACTGCCTCTTCCAGCTGATCCAGCTGGAACAGACCAGGTCACAGCTTGTGTTCAATTGACTCCTCACTGTCTTCCCGGTTCCTCTCCCACTTTGAGCCACAGCCTTTTTAAGAATCATTCTCTTTCTGCCGCTTCAATGATGCTGCAGATGGCTCTCCCTTTTTTTCTCTTTCCTTCAATGCCTAAACAGCCTGCAGGTTCTAACCCCTCCTCCACTGCTTTTCTTCTAATTCTTGTTTCCATCAGATTAAACAACCTCACTTAGCTTATCGCCACCAACGTAGCATGATCTGTGATGCAACATTGCTGGCAATCACATGCCCCTGGAATCTCCCATGATGCCCCCACACAGTTCCCAGCTGCACTGTAGACCTGTCCTGGTTGTTGTCTGTTTGAGCTGTCACTGTTCTTCTGCAGCCAACCTTCTTGTGCGTGGTCGTCTTCCAGACTTCTCCAGTACCCCACAGACTGTTGGCTGAGAAAATACTGCATCTGATGTTTCTAGACACATATTCAGTTGAGTTCTTGGCACCGTTAGATGTTGTGCGTCTTTCACGTCATACACTCTCTTCCAGGTCAATGTGGATCTATTCCCAGCTTGTGTCCAGTTAGCTGGCCCTGTTGGGATTCTCCTCTTGGAGCCAGAATCTTTATGGAGCTTCAAAAATGCCACAGATGGCTCTGCTTTCTCTGTCCTCTCTTCCTGAACTACCTTTAGTTTGATGAGTAAAGTTCAGGTCCAGGTTGATGGAATAAACAGATAAATGTTTTCACTCTTCAGTGTCTTAATCCTGTGTTGTGTACAGAGGCCTTTGTTTTAGACATGTGACATTTCATACTGCTCATACCTAGATATGTACAAACTGTATATGTACATACATATATACTTTACATACATATATACAAACATAGTGTACTAACAAGCACACTACACACACCACTCAGGACTGAAATGTGTGGTGTGTCCACTGTCATGTTACTCTGAGTTTTAATGCCTGCGGGCATTGAGAGATTCTCTCTCTCTCTCTCTCTCTCTTTCTCTCGCTCTCTTGCTCTCACACATGGAGAGAGAGGAAGACTCATTAATGTTAAAGCAGAGTAAAGCGTCTTCCTCAGTGTCAGTAAAGTAACAACATTGTGTGTCACGCATCAAGAGTTAAAGTCATGGTGACACACAGGCGTCCTCACAGCTGAACACTAATGTTGGTGATACAATAATAATAAAAAAACAGTGCATCCATACAGAGGCGTAAAAATAACTCAATACTGAGACTGTATGACTGAATAGACTAGAAATGGTCTCTTTTCAGTTGGTGAAATCTACAATATTTGGATTCCTATAAACCGGGCAGGTTAAATTAGCAGTATGTTCCTAAAATATTACAGGTTTTAATATATTTAGTTTTAGTGTTTATGTTACGTTTTCAGTCATTTATTCAATTTATATTTATTGATTCTTTACATGCACGTGTGGAGCTGGAGCCATTTCCAGGAGTCATAGTGACGGCAGGGTTACACCAATCACAGGTCCAGGAACAGCAGCAAACCCAGACCAATAATAATCATTTTATATTATAAATGTTTAGAATGGTTGATTATGTATTATGATTTTATTAGTTAATATCATATTAAACATTATTTACATTTAAAAGTCAAACGTAATGGTAAAGAAATTAAATGAGACAGTGATATTTATGTGTTGTTTGATGGAACTTTCCCACAAAAGAGTTTGCATTAATAATCAATGAGAATTTAACTTCAAAATTCCTGTCATTTTCTGTACAACAACAGAACTGATTTCTCTGTATAATTCAGCATCGTATGTGGAGTGGAAAGCACAGTAATTGCACAGAAAAACATGATGAATATTTTAAAGTCTTCCTCGGCCATTCATGCAAATGCAGAGTACATGAAGTCCTGTGATGTTTATTTATAGACGCAGCAGGATGTAATTGGCTTCACTTGTTGTTTGGAGAGGGTCGACCCTCCCAGCTGAACCCAGCACCGCGGCACCATGGTGGGAGTGTTGGATGAAGGAATGGACCCACAGCTGTGTGGCTATACGTTTGGTCAAGTGGAAGAAAGTGATGCATTTATGCTGAAGATAAACACGAAAACATGACATTAGCACATTTTATTTTTAGCTCAGTGCACCTTTCATTTTAAGTTCATTAACCTGCCGACATTTTTACTTAAATTCTTAAACTTGTTCTTCTGAAGTGTTAGGCCTGACATTTGTGTTTCAATTCTCAGTGTGCATGATCCGTCATTTGTAAAATAAAAATATATATACATATATATCATGTATTCAATGTATATATTATTTCAATTTGTTTACTAATTTAAATAAATAAAACCAATAAAATAAATATGTAGCTCAGATTGTTTGATATTCTCTTCTTCTTCTCTTTCAAATCCCAACAAAACCAGTTCAAACCATCTCTGAACCTCCATGAGGTCCAAGCAAACCTTCACGTCTGCCACTGTCAAGTGAGTTTACAACAAGAAAAATTTGAAAACTTCTGTTAATGTGCGACGAGAAGAAAAAAGTGCAGGAAGTTCAGAGCAGAGTGAAGCCATTTGTTGGAGTTCACTGAGATCAGCGGTGATTGAAGACTCTGACAGCAGCGGAACAAAACACCAACTGTTCCATTCAACCCCAGTGTACTGTACATGCTGTTGGCACCTCCAACAGTTCAGCTCAGTTTTTTTTTACATATATTTTGTTCTTCCTCTAAAATTGTGACCAAATGCAAGTATTTACTCATTACCCAAAGACAACCTTGAATTTAAGCCTATGTTGTTTGTTGTAAATTGTAGGATTCATCCAAATATATAAACTCACATGAGTGATAAGGTTCAACTACAGTCAAAGCTTCTACAATCCTGAAAACTTCACTACAGTCCAAAGCAAAAATAAACAGGATTAAAAAAAACCTGTTGGTTTCACCTTGACCTACACTCTGTCCAGAAATATCCTCAAATGCTCCAAGGAGACTCAGGTCAGTGCTGTGTGGTGACCAATCAACTACTGACAGTTTTACAGCACGTGGATTTTTTTACTGTCATTTTTGGTCTTTGACATCATTGTTGTGATTAAGATGATGCCATACCAAAAAGAACTCATCATTTTTAAAGAGATCTTGATAAAAAAAAAAAAAAAAAAGTCAAAATGTATCCACAAACCATTACGGAGCCTCCTCCAAGTTTCATTGAAAGGTATGAGCAGTAACTCAAGTATTTTTCTGCCTCACCCCGCTCCTCATGATTTTATGACTGCAGTTTGATTCAAATATTTAACTTGTGTTTTTAACCAATATTTTCAGTTTTTCCACTAGATGGAGGACATTTGTTTCAACAGTAAAATGAAAATGGTTCTCAGCTCTCACTGTGCAGCTTGGTTTATCATATAGAAAGGAAATTGATTCTTTAAGCAGTAACCACGGCATTTGTCTTGCTGTAATTGATTTGTTGTATCGGAACACAGAAAAACCATATGTTCAAAAACATAAGCACAAACACATTAATGTTCTGTGGAAGTCTAATATATCCTCTGCGTATAGGACTGGCCTGGTATCAACTAAGAGTCTGTATACTGTATTTCATTTTGTGTTGGTCTGTGTGTTCTCGTGTGCCCCCTGCTCAGTTGCATCATTTACCATCTACAAAATAAGAGTTGGTCTCCCTCTGGGAGACGAGCAGACGCTGTAGGACAGATAAATAGCTGCAGTGTCCTAATGAAGGCAGTGTCTTTGTAACATTTATCTGCAGCTAAAGGTCGCAGTGTCGACTCTGACAGCCTTCAGAGGGAAAACTTGAAGAAAGACCTGGACCTGAGCATTCCTCACATCACAGCAGATAATAGATGCGGCTG